CTGGCCCCAGCACACCACTCTGCTCATGACCATCTCCTCCCGTTGCACATTCCTACACAAAGTGTTTCCAGAATTACTTTCAGCAAATAAACCGGCACGTCTCATCCTGGCAATTGCTGACCGATATTTGTTTTGCCGTCAACTCAGGACAGCCCAGAGCACCCAGGGGCAGGAGGGGCACCTGGGTCTGACCCGCTGGAACAAGGACCACAGCCAGGAAACAAGCCGGTACCAGAAAGGTGACACCACCGAGGCTTCTCAGAGCTGGAAACAGCATAGAAGTGTTGCTATTTGAGAAGATCATTAAGTCTGGTAAGGAGAGAGGATCATCTCCACCACACCCCAGGGCACAGCAGAGGTGGCCATGAAGCCGTGGCAATGCTTTGGGAACACGGCTGCAAACCTAGAGAGGCACAGAGTGGCTTGCACGGGACTGCAGAGATGGTTGAGGGGCCACAGGAGAGACTGAATCCATGGGCTTGCTCCTGTCCCCTGGTAGGGACCCGCCACCCAGCCGGGCATCTCCTATTTGTGCTCCTCCAGCAGCCTCTGCTGCTGCTGCTCCACAAGTGCCAGCTTTCACATCCCTGCTTCTTCTCTGGAAGTGGCAGAGAAGCCGTCTGGGATATATTCCCCTTTCCTTTACCATCCCAAAGGCAAGGAAGTTGGCAGTTCAGAGAACCCACCGAACCACTGTAAGCTGAAGCTTTCTGAAACTCCTGAAGTCCTCCTGTGCTTTACTCCAGGGCACTCGGTTTGCTTACGGACCCCTTGTCCTCCCAAACTTGAGCAGGACATGTAGAAGGATCTGGTTTCAGGAACATCAGTAATTATAGAACAGGGCTGATGAGGGAGGAGCTCATGGGACAGCAACAACATTTCCCAAGGCGAACAGTGGGCATAGGATGTTACAGGCTCAGAGCACCATTTAAATGGAAAACCAGGAAAGAGGCAAGGGGAACAAGGTGTCACCGCAAACGGGAGCACTGCTGGCAACGAGTAAGCCCATCATTTGGCAACGCTGCACACACCAGGACCCAACTGACTTTTCCCCAAAGTCTCAGCATCACTGGGACAGCAGCAAGTGTCACCCCTGCTTTGGATGGGGCAATCAGCTCCTCAGAAAAATACTGAGGGGTAGAAAAGTAGCAGCAGGCCAATGCATCGCTCTGGATCACAGGCACGTGTGTGCAGCCTGCCGTCTGGGGCCAAATACCCAGCAGGCCAGTAAGTTCTATTGCTAGGCTGTCAGTGCTCCCAGATCCAGGAAAACGCCCACAAAACCAGTAGCAAGCCTTCTCTTTGCAGCGACAGAGATTTTAGATCCTGTGGGCTAACCAGGGAAAAAAAACAACTAAAAAAAAATCCACCAGCCTGTAAGTTTTGTTACGCTTCCACTTGGTCTCCCAGAATAGTGCTACTGGTTTTGTAGACCTTAGCAAAATATCCTGGGCACCAGCCATGCCGCTCTGATCCCAGGACGCAGCTGACAGTGAGCGATTATGCCCAGGCACAAGTTCAGATGATTCAGCAGGGCCTGGGAACGTACGCACCGAAACAGTTAGAACAAATCACCGTGTTCGCTGCATCTCTATTTCAACCACAGAGCAGGAAAAAAGAGGGAGCCTGAGTTTGACTGCATACGTCTCCATGCTCTAGAGAACATTAGAATAACTTTTTTTTTTTTTTAAAACAAACTAGTTCAACACCCTCTTTAGGGAACTAGAGGGGAATGATGTTTCCTTACTATTTTTGGCCACAATCACACAGCCAGAGCCGACTGGGGGAACAGAGGTTTCCCTGCATTTTCCGCAGCGATACGAGCAGCGATCACGTCAGCGTGATCCTGCCAAGACTCCTCTGCCAATTAGAGGATTGCAGCGTGCTCTGGCCATTTGGATTTCCATCTCAGTCCCTAGCAAACAAAACACTTCAGCAAAGCATTAGCACCTTTCATAACCTCCTCACCGTCTTTGGCACCGTCTCGGGGGTATGGAGGGAGGAGTAGAGGTGCACAGCGAGCCAATGACTACCATTTCCCAACGCAGCCAGTTGCCAGGTCAGCGGGCTCCACCAGCTCCAGCCCCAGTCTCGGGGGTATGGAGGGAGGAGCAGGGGTGCACAGCGAGCCAACGACTACCATTTCCCAACGCAGCCAGTTGCTAGGTCAGCGGGCTCCACCAGCTCCAGCCCCAAGCTCATGGTCACCAACAACTCTTTTCCAGCGATCCTCATGTCCTTAACTCCCACTAACGTAACACCTACCTTATGGACATGAGAACACAGGGATTTTCTTCAGAGATGTGAGTCTCTGACCATCAGCCCTCATGGGGTTAACAGCTTTCAAGATCCAACAGCTCTAGCAGAGTCTATATAATCAACTTAAAGGTGAAAAGCAGATTTGGGTATTTCCAGAAATGTTCCAGATTTGCATTAGGCTGAAATCAAGAGTTGCACTAAATAAACATTTGTAAAAAGTCGGGCAGGGCAGGGATCTGAGCTTAGGTTTCCATCACCAATTCCAGATTTGCATTAAGCTGAAATCAAGAGTTGCACTAAAAAAACATTTGTAAAAAGTCGGGCAGGACAGGGATCTGAGCTTAGGTTTCCATCACCAAGGTGACTGCACAAAACACTGCTTATTTTAAAGCCATTTCACCCATCCTCTCTTCAGCCTGACAAAGCCTTTCCTAATGAGACACTCATTAGGCAGTAGTATGGTTCATAGTAAAGTTCGTCTTAACAGACCATCAAAGAAATGCTTCCCTATCAGCTCAGGTAGGAAAGCTCTTCTGCCCTTTTAAACCACCAGAACTCCTCCCTGTCTCCATCCCACATCTCTGTTATGGTGTTGAACGTGCATGTTCTGGTTTTTGCTATTCCAAGTTCCAGTTCCCAGACCAGGGCAAAACCGAAAATGCTGCATGAGGGCATCGATTCAGGTTAACACGGACATTATGTGGCTGTTGCTATCCACAAGCCTCAGAGATGTGCTCTGGCTTGTCCCAGCGCCACGAGAAATGTTTGCATTTCTGGCTTGTGCTTTCATCCTGCCGTCTCCTCCCTGGTCAGGATTCCCCTGCAAACCGCAGCCTCCACAAAACCCACACTTTCGAGCAGAACCTGTCCATGGGGATCCCCAGGGAAGCATCCTGACACACACACACATACGTCGGAGCCCGTTGCAAAGCCAGTTTGAAAGACGTAACCCAAATGATCTCAGAAGTTCACAAGCTCTTGGCTAAGTCTTGGAGGACACAGACATTTTCCAGACGCTATGATGGTAGCGGTGAATAGTGGAGCATTTCAAGAAGTCATCCTGAAACTAAGATACAACTCAAGGCAGTTCTGCTCTGAACCTTTCTTCCAACCAAGCAGGGCTCCAGTGAACATCATCCCAAAACATTTATTTTGGGGAAGATGCATTTCGCAATCTCCTTGACCAAAAGGCTTCATATTGGCATTAATCGTTCCACTCTAAAGCCTGCTTTGGGAAAGTAATTTCCTAGGCATTCTGCCAATGGAAGCGCATTTCAGAATGTAAAATAATAATAATAAAAAAATTACTTCTACAGAAAAATCTTGTTTGTACTCACTATGGAAATCACTTCCACTTGTCTAGACTTTCCCAGAGCCTCCAAAATGATCGCAGCAGTGATAAGCAGTATATCTCTGAATAGCGACACTTCTAGAAAAGCAGAGATTGCTCTGCAGCACCTGATGAGAAAGCAGTTACACAGCCTGACGATTCTGTGGGTATCAGCAAGGGCAGTTGTTCCTGCTATAAAGCAAGAGAGCCAATAAAAATCACAAAATAAACCAACATCTCTAAAATTTCATAGTCAGGGCAAGCCAGGCTGGGTTCTGGCAGCAAACAACCGTTTAGGCATAAGCACTGTAACATCATCTCACTCAATGAAAATATCATTCGCATGTCAGGTCTCGCTGCATGAAGGAGCCCAAGAGTCTCTTGTCGTGCTAATTCCTCCATCTTCAAGAACATTTGCAGATTTCCAGTTCATAATTCAATAGCCACACATGAAGTATTGCCCGAAAGGCAACAAGATGTACTGTACAAAAATACATATTTGTCAACAGGCAACACGCTGGAGAGACGGAGACCACTGACATCAGTAAGCAATTCTGTACAACAATGCTCCTCTGATCAGCAAAGCCTCATGTGGCTCATTACAAAATCCTCTCCACACACTGCGAAGATCCTTGGAAGTCCATGTCTCGAATGCCAGAACAGAGATAGCACAACAGTTGCACAAATTTGACACAGAAAACCACATCTCGGTCTAGCTAAACACCTTAGACGCGCGTTGCGGCAAAAATGAATCCACCTCCTACGCGCGGACAGCCACAGCACCGTTAGAAGCTACGTGCAGCATCTGGGTGCAGGGCGAAGGCAGTGAAGACTTTCGGGCATCGCTTCAGAGGTCTGCGAGCAGGACAACGTCCACCCAAGCCCGTATTGACCACCTCCTCAAAACCCCTGTCCCAGCTCCGCTGGAACCCGCTCAGCTTTGTCCGAGTAAGGCAGTTACATAGCGATAGACGGTATCGGTACCGCTGCCAGATCGCGTGTCTGGATTCTTAGGTGACTGGTTACCCAAGTACAGTCCCTGATCTCGTGTGACCTCCCCAATTTACAAGAGCCAATTTCAGTCATAAAAAAAAAAAATCAGTGAAATAATCAAATATGAAGTCGCTATACTTTGACGGTAACAGTCGGCTTAGAAGAACGGGATGAGACAATGAAACCCACAGCACCCTCCTAAGCATAATCCATAAAGCTCATACTCAGAAACTGAACAAAAATAAGGCACAAAGTTCAAGTTTTAAAAGAAATTTAAGAAAGTTTAAGCTCATGGACAAAAGTGAAACTTGCTGAAAGCAAGCCACACTTCCTAGGCTCTTCCCTATCCCAAGTTTTAAAAAACATACATAGGATAAGTGCCTTGGTAGATCGCCCGCGTGCGAAAGGGAAGGGTTACCTCTCCGGAGCAGCTGTCCCCGTCTGCCTGTCGCTGAAAGCCCCCGTTCAGTTACCATGTCAGCACGGAGAGCTGAAAACCGAAGTAATCTGCAAGAGAACACAAGGCGAATTTCTACGGCTGTGCTGAAGGCCAGATATTTATGCTGCTGGGAGAACTGGGCCGGATCCAGCAACAGCTCTGAAATTAAAACACACGCTCCCTCTACCGCACGCTGAAACCATCGGTGTGGGTGACTCCCCTCGCGCCGTGGGGAGGCAGCCGCCGCATGTGATCCCAGCCGTCTCTCCGGGGGTTTCGGCAGCTTCTGCAAACCAGGAGGTAGAGCAAACCCCCCCGGTATCCCAACAGAGATGGCCCTGACCCCTCAACGGGCTTTCAGTGTCAGGATGTCACCTTTGCCTTCTGTCACTCGCAGCCAGAGGCCGGTGACCCCAAACTTTTATGACAATGCATGAAGTTGATGCGAGAAAAAGGTCTCTGGTGGCCATAAGGTAGCTTGTTTACTCAGCTTGCTTAATCCACCTTTAAGAGGCCGCCAGAAAGTTACTGCAACTTTAATGAACTTCCCTCTCGGGTGGCTGAAACATAAGGATTCGACAGAGTTCATTCACTCTTCTTGGTTTTCCTGATAATTTTTCAAATAGCCTTGTATGAATTTCAGGTTCTGGAGAGGAGTAAGAGACCAATGCTGGAAAAAAATGGCTTATGAGGCTTTGAACTAGAGGACTTAGAGAAAATATGTTCTATTTTTAGACACAGTTATGCAGACTAACTGGACTAACATATTAAACAAAGATGTTGTGAACACGATGCTACTTGAACCCATGTACCCTCCCTGACATCACCCAGGCTTAGCTGCTCCTCCCACCCCAATGGAAAAGCCCCGCTTCGTACTGCTGCCCCCAACACGGGATGACTTACGAGGCAGCCGAGCGCCGGCAAACGAACCTGGCATCGCCAGCCCTCTGCCCGGCGGGGCAGCTCGGCAGGCAAGCCGGCAAGTTCAGGGCAGAGAGTGAATCCCACGCAGTGCCACACACCCTTCTGCACCTGACATGGCACTGGGAGCTGCCGAAGAGGATGAAAAAAAGAAAGCAAATCCCCTGCCCCAAAAGCCGAGGCTCCCGGCACACTAACATGAGTGTGGAGGGTGTTTCCTATGTCGCCGAGCAGCCCAGGTACATCCAGGGGAGGGCATGAGTGTGAGATCCAAAAAAATAACCCCAGTCCCTTGCATTGGAGCATCATTTGCATCAGGATCGCTCTTTCTTGCGGTCAGCGATCCAAAAGTCACAGCCTCCCTTGAAGAAAGCGATTGCCCTCGGTTCACAGGCAGGGGGGCTGAGACAAGCCTGCCCGCAGGCCAGCCGGCCAGGGAAGGAGCGCAGACCCAGCACCCAGCCCTCTGCTTTAGTGGGGGCCACGAAACTGCACACAGCGACTTCGCTTTCACAGCAGGATGTTACAGCTACAGCCAGCTTCTCATCCCACTCCCCCTCCCAAAACAGAAGGTATTTTTTCTAAGCACCCCAGACAAAGTTTTTCTTTAACCTTCCTGATGAAGAACAACAATAAAGTCATTACAATCTCACTGCCACATCAGGAGCGGGCTTTCTTCATCTCCACCAGCAATAAAGCCCTTCCCTGATTCAGTAACAAAGCATAACGTTGACACTGTCAACGAGGGCATGAATCACAGGCCGGGAGTGCACAAATCACACCCTGAGCTCTCTCCCATTGCACATCAGAGCGCTTCGCTGCTGATGCTGCCAGAGATCTGAGAATTAAAACTAAATGACTGGCTCACCTCGTCCTGCTCACAGCTAAATGCCAGGGCATGCCCCATCACCATCACACACAAGGCAATACTTGCACCAGCTCAGCAGGGCACAGAGGGAACCTGCCAGCACAAAACTCCGGCAAGCTTCCTCTTGTATCCCTGGCTGACGCACGAAAAGTCACGGAGAAAACTCCCACCTCAGCACAGCCTGGAGCACGTTTGTGCCTGAAGGGGAAAGGGATTCTCTGCTGAAGGCAGCAAGGGAGTTTGCATGAAGAGAGACGGCGGGAGGAGGGCCAAGCAGAGCAGAAACAAGAAACAGGGCATGGGGTGCTTCAATCAACAGGTCACTGGTTCAAGAGATTAACACCGCTACCAGCCCTGGGACCCCGATTTGTGGGGTGGCCACTGCTGCATCCTCTTCCCATGCTCAGATCCCTCTGCATCGCCACGACGGACACTGCCCAGACCCTAAGCATGCCCAAAGCTGGCTTGTCTCTCTGCCCACCCACAGCCCATTCGCAGGGGTTTTCCCAACACGTGAGGGCTCAACGGACCGATTCCTTCCCACAAGCACGACCGTCACGCGCGCGCAGGAGGCTTCCCAGCACAGCCGTCGAAGGGGAAGGTGGCCAAGGCTGAGATAAGTTACACCGAGACGCTGTTTGAAGCCACGCAGGTACAAGACAGTCGATGCTTTGGGAAAAGCATAGATGGGATCGTCACAGAGGGTGCATATTCTCTCCTGCTCCACTGACAAGCTGCATCGTCAGCCGCTTTTCCTCTCTATGCCTTGATTTTCCATCCAGGGACGTTAAAACACACCTACCTCATAAACAGGTTTTGAACCTTAATGCACTGGCTTCTGTAAATAGGTTGGAGGCTCTCTGATCATAAACAAATAGGGTTGTTAAACATCACTTGAGGTGGAGTCGGTGCACACAAACTTTTGGAAGTATAGCAAGGCCAGGAGGCCTTTGGACCACACGAAAAAGGGGAGGTCAAAACTCATCTGGGGAGGACCAGTTCAATGTCACAACAGGATCCTAGTTGGTTATAACAACAGAGCTTGGAGCTAGCCAACAAGGAAGGAAAAAATGCAACAGGTCGGTAGAACGAAACAAAGGAGGGAAGCAGGAGGTCAAAGAAAATTAGGTCTCTTGCTTCAAGGTCCTGCCACCTACTCCTGCACGCTCCTTTACCTTTCACCTGGGATTTTTTTAAAAGCGCTTTCAAAGCTAATTAAGAGTTACAATCAACCCAGCCATCATGCACATATCACCTTCCTGCATTCGGCTACGAGCGTTCACAGCACGGGAGAAGCGACCTCGTGCAGAACTCTCAAGTGCTTCAGAGCCGCTGTTTAATACAGATGGCAGCACCCCATCCACCCCATCGGTCTGGGGTCTCAGGGAAAGCAGGAGCAGAACGTGGAGATATGAAAGATGAGAAAAGGACTCTCAGATCCTTTCTCCTCCAGCAACCCCTCACCTGAGGCACTACTGACGGACCACCCTGACTCTCTTGCTTCTCCTCCTTCCAGCCCCAGACCCCAGCAATGCCCCTCACTGGTACCTAAAACCACAGGCCAGTTCCCCCTCTGCCACCCCACCCTAAAGGGGGCCAGCCTGTCCTCCCCCAGCCTCCCCCATTTGGGTCACATCCCATCCTCCATCTTCCCTGATTTTCCAAGCAGGAACGAGAGCCTGCACCCTAAAGTCACCGATGTGGCCCTGCCCTCCCAGCCCCCTCCAAATCACTGCCCCCCAAAGTCGCTCCCTGCTTC